AGTATCTAAAAATGCTATGAATGTCTCAGTGTGAGTATTTCAGCAACCCTTCTATTTTTAAATACCCTGAAGAGCTGTCAGTAGCAGTTATGTCTGGTACAGCAGTCTGCTCTGAAAGCAGATTAGGCCAAACTACCCACTGGCCCTGAAGCTGTCCATGAAAAGGTCATCACCTCACTTCCCATCTGCTGACTTGGGTTTCCCCTAGTCCATTTCAGCCAAAACAAACCAGTCCAGCTGACATCTACTATTTAAACTGCTTAAGCTACTCTGACTTTGGCTGAGAAAAGCTTGGGAGGAATTGTGTGCGCAGCTTGCAGGTGGGTAGGAGAGGCAGTAACCTTTGGCAAAAAACAGCTGTGATGGCAGCAACTGAGAGCTGTCTGGGAATGGTAACCTCTTCAACAACCCCATTTCAGCCCGTGGAGGAAGTGAGCAGCTACAGGGGGATTTTAAAGCATGGTAAATTCTGTGCTTTAAGTTCCATTCTCACTTATTTTGCAAGAGGTTTCTCTGGCAAACCACTCCTTTCCACTGTGCAGAAAACATGATGACGTTACTCAGGCTGTCATTCATCTTTCCCCTGTTTAATCACTGCTAACTGATTAACCAAGTGAAGTGCCACAAAATCCATTAGCTGGAAAAGGAACAAAAAGCTATGCTAGCTTTTATGAATAAATAAAGAGAAACCTTTGTAAACAAGGTGCATAACCTCCAGCTCTTGGAAGTACCCACCTATTCCCCCACACAGCGGCTCCTGCCAGAAGCAGGATGTGAACTGTTAGGACATGGGGCACTGTCAAAGTTCAAGGGCCGTTGCATAGCCTGCTGGATTACCACCATAATGTCTTTTGCCCTTCTTTTACCCCATATAGATACTTCAGGTCTTCTTACCTCATAAGCTTGATAAGAAGGCACAAGAAAGGGCCATGAACATTAACTCTTTCGGTACCACTTTGCCAAAAAGGAGCAGTGAGTGCTCAGGCCAAAAAAATCCATTGCCAGAAATGCAGCAAAATAAATTTCATAGAATTGACGGACCTGTGAAAACCTGGGGAGGGAAGGTCAGCAACCAGGGACCCCACCAAAGCCAGGCAGTCCCTCTCCCAGATGGTTCAGGTGTTTACCAAACTAACGCCTGGCTCTCTCCCTGGTTTGTGCCTGTAGTTCAGATAATTTCCAGGAGCCTGCTGTGCAAGGGGTATGGAGGAATGAAAGGCTTTCAATGAAAAAAAAAAAAAAAAAAAAAAAAGAAGTTAAGCTGGAGTTAGACTCTGACAAGCAAACGACTTACTGCTCCTTCACGAGTGACCACCTGCCAGCTGAGGCATGTCAGCTGCCCACAGGCACACGCTTGGCCCATTGCGAACAGGAGGTGAAGGACGCGGCTGCTAATCAAGGTCAGATGCTGCCGTGTTGGAGTCCTCCAGACTCCTTCCGCTTGTGTCTTCAGGTTAGCAACAAACTTGTACAGTTTCACCCTCCAATACCCTCCCAGAGCAGACTCTCAGCTCAAGCTCAGCTGAAAATAAAGCATTCTTAGTAATAACTTCAACCTGCAGGAATTAATCGTGATATCACTATTGTTTAGTTGAGCCTTTTATTATATTAGGAAAAAGAAATGCCCTACTCTGTATTGAAAAGGCTTTAACGTGCTGCCCTAGACTTTTTTGTATATATCCTTTTTTTTTTGGTTAGAAATAAAAACAGATCACGAGTACTTTTTATTTTTACAGTTTTACAGTGAGGAAACTTTTTCAGTCTCCCAGATTAAAAAAAAAAAACCCTCTACAAATGAACAGTTATGTAAGCTGTTACTGAGTTGAGATGACAAAAGGGAAGAGAACTGACATGTCTTTCCTCCTCAGCACGTGCCCCTCTCCGCTGCTCCCCACTTCTCTTTGTGAGGATAACCGTGCTGGAACTATTTGTTCCTGCACTTCTCTAGTCTGAATAAGCTGGGGCACTGGCTGTCACCTCGAGTTTCTCTGGCACGCTCTCTGATCCCCCTCGTCAAAATGGGTCAGTTCTAGCTCCATTGACCGGCAGTTAACTCTGTAGACTTTCCATGCTTTGGGGGTTTGCAAAAGGTATCTTCAGGGCCACTGGTTGAGACAAAAAGGCAAAACTGCTCTTTAGCTACTACAAAACAGACACGTGCAAAGTGGTCAATGTACCGATGTAATTGCTTTACCACAGTTTCTTAACTGCTTTTGATCTTTCGTTTGTCACTGCCTTATGGAGACTGGACTTCTTTTGGGACTTCTCTCTCCCCCGCATGCTCTGCACTTCCTTGCAAAGCATGCGACTGTTCAGTTCATGAGTGCCAACAAGGCTTCCTCCTGAGAGACAGCTCGCGACTCCGTAACACCAGGCCCTTCATCAATGCGGTTCTTGGTCAGTTTTGCCGGGACAGAGCCCACCACTGTATCATTTGTTCGGAGTTGCCTGCTTCCTGAAACACCAACCACACGAACAGTTTCACCGTGGGCAACGGCCGCGTGCCTTTCCCAAGGCGCTTGGTTTGAAGAGACAGACACCAAGAGTGTAAGGACCCATGCGGTTAATCCTCTTTCTCATGCTGTCTTCCAAGGGTGTGTGGCACAGGGATTCAAAAGCCGGCAGAGGTGACTGGCCAGAGTTTGAATTCTGCCATGTAAGAGGTCCTGCGTAACCAGCAGTGCCAGCATGCTCCCTTAGTGATGATGCCTCTGAGGGAGAAAGGGTGTTGCAGAATATTCGGGTGCCCCCAGAAGAGGGATGCATAGGACAGGACCCATCAAACCCCTGAAAAATGTACCTCGCTCATTAATGTTGGGACTAGCCAGAACAGATATGTGTTAAGACAAAAATAATTTTATTTATCTGTTTAGACTTAACTTTCACTTTCATTGATTAATCAGTTTTAGATTTTCCAATTTTTTTTTTTTTAATTTAACAAGGTTATTTAAAGGGGAAGGCCCCCAACGCGCCATGTAGCCAACAGGGCGCTCTGCCCACATCAACACAGCCCCAGGAGGATTTGACGCCTTAATGGCCCTGCATCACACCACACAGCATGACTTTTTAAAGAGACTAGACCGGTATTTTACGGAGCCAGCCGCAGCGCGCCTGGCAGGACCGATGGCCCTTTGGCTGGTGGTGGCCCCCAGAGCAACGCGGCTGGGCGGCCGGGCAACGGGAGCGCTGAGGGGAGGTGGCCGCGGGGCAGGGCTCGCCGCGGCGTCGCGCTGCGCCCCGCGCCCGGCGAGGCCCACAGCGCCGGGCCCGCCTCGGGGCTCGGCGTGGGGACGAGCGCAGGCCCGGACGCCGGGGCGGGAAGGGCGCGCTGAGGCGGGCCGGCCTCCGCGGGGCCGGGACGCTGAGAAGCGAGGGCCAGGGCTGCGGCGAGAGGGCAGGGCGGGCGGAGCCTCCCTCCCTCCCCGGCCGGGCCAGGGGCGGGGAAGGGCCGCGGCGGCTCGGTTGAATCGCTCCGCGGCCCCGGCTCCTCCCCGGGGCCGGCCCGGCGGCTGCAGCGGGAGGCCGGGGGCCGCGGACGCGTGTCCGTCTGTCCGTCCGTCCGTCCCCCCGGCCGGTGACAGCATGGTGCGGTGTGAGCCCCCCACCGCTCCGCCTCCCGCGGGGCTGCGTGGCGGCGGCTGCTGCCTCCGTCTCCCCGCAGGGATCCTCTTCTCCCCGCTCCTCCTCTTTCTCCTTCTCCCTCTCCCCCACCTTCACCCCCCGGCTGAGTTCATTCACTGGGATTGGTTTCAAATGACGCCATCGCTTTATTTTTACACCGATGACCTCATCCCAGCAGCTTGAAGTTTACTGACCAGCAAAACTCTTTTCTCTCGCTTGCTCCCCTCCTTGTGACTGCCTGCTCTGCCCGTTTGTTTGTAATCGTTTGGATCCTTCTGCGAACCGAAGACTTTTTAAAAAAAAACACACAAAAACCCCAAACCCCAAGACTTTATCCCCCCTCCCGAGCTTTTCAGTGTCTCTTCTCCCCCCCCCCCCCACTGTCCCCTTTTAATTTTCTCAAGCCGTCTTGAGGGGGGGTGGGGGGGAAGGAGAGGAAAAAAAAAGCTCCAAATGTTTCCTTGTTCATCTCTCCCTTCCCACCTTCACGCTTTCCCCCTTTTTTAAAAAAAAAGAGCCTAATACAGTTTTTCTGTTTTCTTTTTTTTTTCTTTTTTTAATTGCTTTTTTTTTTTTTTTTTTTAATTGGAGAAGAAGGAAAAAGAGGAGCTTTCCCAGGCTGGAAGGAGACAAAGTTGTTTCAGGCGGCAGCGGCGAGGCTGGTGGCAACAACTTTTATCCCCGCCGAGGGGACAGACAGACAGACAGACAGACAGGGGGTGAAACAGTAAGTGCCGGGAGGAGCGCAGGGACTCCTCGCCCGTGGCCGCCCCGTGTAAACCAGCCCGGGAGGGCGGCTCGGGGCTCGGGGGGTGGGGGGGCCGGGCCGGGCCGGGCCGGGCTGGGCGGGGAGGAGGAGGAGGAGGAGGAGGAGGAGGAGGAGGAGGAGGAGGAGGAGGAGGGAGGTGAGGGAGAGGCGGGCGCCCTCCCTCCGTCCTCCAGCATGCCCTTCCCCGCCGCCCCCTCACCTCCGGAGGAGAGCGCCCGCAGCGCACAGGTCGCTGCCCCGGCCCGGGCGGGCTCCGGCCGCCTCCGCGGGTGGTAAGGACCGGGCGGGGATGGTGGTGTGGGGGGGGTACGGTACCGGCACCGGCACCGGCACCGGCACCGGCGGGCCGCCCCGCCCCGCGCTCCCCCCTACCTGCTGCGGGGCGGCCGGCACCCCGCGGCGGCTCCTGCCTCCTCCTCCTCCTCCTCCTCCTCCTCGCCCCTTCCTTTCTCACCTCCCGATATCCACCTGCCTCGCCTTGTAAAGGCGGGGGAGTGTGGGGAGAAAGCCGGGCGCCGTTTGTGCGGGGAAGGGGAGGCAGCTCGCCGCTGCGAGGGATGAGCCAAGAGAGCGCTGTCTTCTTCAGCGCGCCCCGAAACCGTCCGCAGGGGATGTTTGGGGAGGCTCTTGATAAGCTTTGGCGTGCGCGTCTGCCTTGCTGAACTTCGTAAACAGCGCTGGCTCCGAATAGGCTTTCCACTGCTTGAAAGGGTCGAGGATGCTTTAGAGCCCCGGAGGGCTCCCGAAGAAATGTTGAAGTTCTGCCTTCAACTTGGAAAACGTTTAAATTGAGGCAGTTGACAAAATGGAGGGCTGCCGTGGAGTCCAGGAGAGAAGCAAATTGCAAATTGTTAACCTGGTATTGCACTCACGTAAACCCGTAACTCCATGGCTGACACCAGGAAGCAGCCTGACAGATAGCCTCTCCTGACTTTATTTTTTTTTTCTCCGTAGAAGCGTCGGGGATGAGCAGTTGAGCGCGCATCGGTGCGTGCTGAACAAGGTGTATGGGATGTGCCTGTTGCAAAGCCTGACCAATGGTAGGATTTTTCAGCGGCCAAAAATCATTTGGTTAGATGTCAGATGGGAGGCTGCTTTTTTTTTTTTTTTTTTTAGAAAAGCAAAGCCAGGAGAATTTACTTTCTTTTATTGTTGTTTCAGGTAGTTGAAATAGAAAATTGATCGTTCGCTTTTCCTTCAAGTGAAGGGTGTAGTCATAGCGAGCTGTGTTGTCTGACCTATGACTAACTTTTTTTTGTTCAAACATTCGGTGTATACTCAGCAGAATAAATAGATCAGTGCTAGTTTTGAAAGCTAAAAGCAGATTGAATTGTTTCTCCTTGTAAGGATGTATGTTGGGGTTATCAAAAGAAAAAAAAAACAACAAAAAATATTATTTTGTAATCCTTGTTTTGAGATTTATGCTATTCTGGCAGCATGTGGTTTAGTAGATACAGAATTTACAAAGTCACAACTGACCAGACAGGAGTTGGTTTAGACTCTTGTGTTTTGAGGGGAGGTGGAAAAATAGTAAGTCTTAATTTCTTTTGATGGTGTTCATCCCACTGCCCGTTGGAGATTGAAGTATTCATCACAGTTGTTTATGTTGGTTGTCTGGGGGGTTTCTATTTGAATGTGGAGCAAGTATGCAATAGGGGGGGGTGTATGCATATTTTTAGCTTTAATGACAAAAGATGCAAAGAGTAATGTTCAGAAGTAAATCTTGCATTTACAGAGTATGCTTATTAATATTTTTGGGAAGGAATCTATAAAAAAATGTCTGAGGTGTAATAAATTGTGGTCATTAAGCTTGTTTAATACAATAGTGCTTCAGTATATCTTAATACACAATTTCAAAGTCTCTTTTTCAATTAGCAAATAAGTAAAAGCAGCAGAGAAGGTGCCAGTTCCTGTGCTGATTAGAGGTGGTAGTTGCAAAATACTGTATGATTTAATACATGTGCAAAGGTCCAGAAAGCACAACCAAGCATTTGAAAATGTAACATGTTGTATAAAGACACATAAATACATTCCTTCTCCAGTAGCTCTGGTTTTGTTAGCTACCTAAGCGTATATAGTGGAACAAAATCACACCAGAAAGAACTTCTGTAGAAGGTGAGCTCAGGTTGTCTTTCTGTAAAACGCACGCTCTTCTTTCAGCGAAGGCACCTAGCCTCCTAGCCTGGCAAGGATGTTTGCTTTTAGCTGGAATAGCTTCAACTGTCCATAGGAACGGTATCAGCAGAAGCTGTGCAGGAATGTGTTAAATGGATTTTGCTAAGAGCTCTGGCTCCGAAGCCAGCCCCTGCTCCTCTGGGGTCCAGGCCAGCCCTCGGCCCCGGGGGAGGAGTTGTGGTTGTGTCTGCCATGTGCCTGCGCACCTTCCTTGGCAAAACGGCCCTGCCCGGGGAGTCCTGTGCCTCTGTGTTCACATCTGGCAGCTGGAGACAGGGTGAGTGGAGTCATACGGAGTTACTAGAGGCTGGATGGTAGGATGGGTCAGCCGCTCTTCTGCCTTTAAGATAAGTGATCCATGTAGGGTTTAAGAAGCCCTCAGAGGGCAAATTCAGTCTCTCTTCTAGACCTCTGTAAGAATTGCCAAATAGACAAATTAGCCATTGATTTCTGTTACTTGCATTGGTCTTCAAGCCAGCTCTGCTCCACTGTGTTGTGTAGTAAGACCTGTGTGCAGGGTGAGGGCCTTGCTCAGTCACCTTTCTTTTCAAAGTCCGATACCTTAATCCCCAGACCTATTCAGGAATATTCACTGTTTTCAAAATACAAATTTTTGAGGAAATACAGTAAGCACAGTTGAAGCATTTTTTCTCTCAAGAAAAAGGAGGCAGGGTGATAGCTTTCACTTCATAGTATGTCTGTTGAATTTTCTAGGACTTTTTTGTTTTCTCTTTTTTTTTTCTTTCCTCTAAGAGCAGTCAGGAAAGCATCATGGATATTCTTCAAGTGCTGACAATCCTTAATAGCCAGATGGCGTAGAGTAGTTACTGTTAAAGGATGAGGTGTGGAAGGATTGGCACATCCCTTCCTTTTTCACTTTTGTATCACGCCTAGGAAGAAACATGAGTTTGGCCTGCGAATCCTGTGAATCTGTCTCTACAGATTTGTTGTTATGCTGATCAAATGACTAAATGTTTCTTGCAATCTCGTAGTATTTCGTGCATGTCTGTGTAATGGTATGTCCCTGATGTGTTGAATGGTACATTCACTTGCCCTACAATTCCTTAGAGATTGGTTCCAGATTTTGTGTAGTGATGTGGAGACCTTCCGCAGAATATTTTAAATATCAGTAACTACATATCATATCAGTAATATTTCGCAGATTTATTTGGTGTCCCCCTTCATAAGCAAAGGGTAATGCATCATTCTTCAAGGCTGTCGATTGCATATGTGGCCTTTACTTTCTGCATGAATCAAAAGCTGTAGGTGATGGGTGACCTGGTGATGTGTACCGGGATGTCGGCCTGGACTAAAGCCAGCAATTAACTGAAGACCAGGCGTCATTTGCATGAAGGTGAAGTGAACACTCTAACTTTAGGCTACTTCCTAGTCGCTACTTGGGGGACCCTATCCTCAGGGTTTTCTTTATCATTAGTATAGTAGTATCATCACCCTGATACCAAAGCGAATTGAGGTGAGACTGGCTCTGGAGCAAGGCTGGCGGCTGAGATGCCCTGTGCTGCTGCAGCATTGCTGCTGTCTGAAGACAGCCGTGGGAACAGGGAAGTTTGTGTCGCCAACTTCTCTCCTTCGCTGGACCTGATCTTTGGATTGGTATTGGCCTGGCAACTCCAAATAAGAAATCTCCATTATAGTTACTCTGTAACTTCCCATAACATCTGAAGGAAGCCAAAAATACACATTAATGGTAAAGTTTGGCATCTTAACTTCTGGGTTTGCATAGTTTTAATCTGAGCAGTTCTCTATTTGCTCATGGATAGGGCCTGCTGGCAGCTGTCACGGTCTCCAGTGGAGATGATGTTGGCCACCAGTGAATTACTATTCCTCAGTGATCAAAGAAAATCTGCGTCTAGGGTGTGTGTATGGAGGACGAGAGGGAAGATGGGCGTGAGTTCAAGGCCTTGTGTTTCCTTTTGCTGTGCTATGTGGTCTGCTGCTGAGCCAAGACTGACCTACTCAGAGTTGGCTCTGGGAAGGCTGGCAGCTTTCCATGTTGTGTCCCTACAAAATGCTCCAGCAGCTGAAAAAAAAAAAAAACCAAATTAGTAATTGGACAGGCTAGGAAAGAGGGGAAAGAGTGTTGCCTCAGTGACAAGTTTCCTGTGGGGCTATGGGGATGCAGAATCTTTTCTGCCATGGACCTTCCCGAGCTCTGTGCTGCTGCTTTTCTGCGCTTTCACTGTCTGAAGCTGTAACATTTGTTCTGCATGAATCTATGAAAGGAACTGCTGAGATGAGGTCCTCCTTTGAGAGGAAGTCAGTTATCTCTGTTCTTTCTTGGTCTCAAGATGAGCCATACCTCTCCAGTAACTTATACATCTTCTCTTTAATGTGTTCTTGGAATTAATTTTACCCTGCGTAGTACAAGTTTTCATCCTGTCTCTCAGAAACTAGGATCAGTTCCTTGCACAGACCTTCTGAGGTAAATTTGCACTCTCATTTGGTTTCAAACTTAAGTTATAAACATCTGGCAGTCGTTTACCAAATAAAGATGAACAAGTTCAGGTGTGCAGAGGCTTTCATTAGTTGAGAATAAATGTATTTTTTTTCTTCTGTAAAGTCTTTTTACATGCTATCCAGAGTGATAGTCTGCTAAAATAGTATGAAAATTTTTCTTCATAAAATCATAACTGTGTTCCATTACATTAGTTTGGCAGAAAACTATGACACATGGTTTCTAATATTGAGAGAGAAACAGTATTTTCCATTTTCATTGTGCTTCACTTGCATTTGCTTTACTATAATAATCTATGATTTGAGCCTGTTTGACGAAATGATAGATCAGTGGCTTGTACAAATACTCTCTTTTTAGACATCCTTGCCTGCTTGTCTAATTTTTTTTATATTACTGAAGGCATTGTGGGAGGCAAAAAGATGGGTCTGAGTGTGTAATGTAGCAACATTGGAATGAGAACTTTACAGAGAGCATAGAATGAGGAGGACAACAGAGACTAATTGTATGAAATTCCTTTTATGCACACGTTCTTGAGTTTGAATAACTAGTATGTATTCAGCCTGCTGGATTAGAAGGCTTTGGTTCTGCATGTGTAGCATAGAAGTTGCTCTCAAAATAGGAAAGCAACTTTCCCTCCCCCCACCCTATGCCAGATAAAATTGATTTGGTACCATGTTTTGCTCCTACCAAACCCTTAGTAAATCATGTTTAAAGGCTGAATAATTCATAATGTTTAGGTATAAACACCACACTTTTAATAGCCCAAGTGTTGGTTTTGCTTCTTGATGGCTAGGTGTAGGAATAATTCATCTCATACATTAAAGACTCAAATCTCATGTCAGGACTTGGTTTTCTACCTGCAAGATGGTGCTTAAAGGGGAGTGAGTTTCTTGATGGTGCGTATTTCACCAAATTTATACAGTACCTTAAGCATAGAAGCCATCCATCTTCTAAATACCATCTTCCAAATACATGCAGAGTCTGAACTGCATTTCAGAGAGCTGCACACAGCATGCCATCCTGCTACTGAAATAAGCCTTAATTTCAAAGGTGGATTGTAAGCACCAAGAACATTTGCCTAAAGAACAGGCATGAGATTACCTTCCACTCATTATACTTATTCCAGATAGGAATAATACAACACCTATCATCTATACAGTTCCCACAAGTATTTTGTTACATGTGGGAATCTGATTAGGTGTTGAGATTTCATACCTTATTTCTTCAAAAATGATATTTGGGACTCGGTGTTTCCTCTTGCTTTCCAGCTCTGCTGTGCCTGGCAGTTTCATGGGTGTCTGCCTAAACTCTGGAAAACTGGGAGGGAACAGAGCTGGAGGAGGAAGAACCTGTGTTACGTGTCTCTCTTCTAACCCTGTCATACTCAGA